TGACTTTATGAGCTCCAGCACTGTTCTTGTTCCTGTCAAAAGTGGGTACAGTCCAATTTCTGCCAGTATTTGGGTCTGTCACAGTCAAGATCTGATGTTCTCCTTCATGTGCCATTCTGCTCTTGGTCAAAACATCAAAAGGTCTGCCCAGCAGGACCTTGTAGGCTGGTCCCTTGATAACATGCACTTGCAGGAAAATCTTGAATTCTCCCCATCTGAACATAACATTCCTTGCCAGTCCCATAGATTTCTCCAGTTGTCCATTTGCTGATTGCATGTAAATGTTGATTGATGGGTCCCACATCAAACCACATGCTTGTGCTGTCTCCAATGACATAGACACAATCTGAGATCCAGAATCCAGAACACATTCAATTGGTCCAGTTGAGTGAATATGTGGGTAGGTGACTTTGAGAGGTTCAGAGTCCCTTGCCACATAAATCTGCCTTGGTGTTTCATCCTCTTCAAGACCATCAAGGTATTGAAGGTAAGGGTCCTGAGCAACCATAGATCCAGCTGGTATTCCATCAACCTCAGTGTTGACAATGAAAACCCCTTCTACTTCAGGCAATTCACTCATTTCCACTGCATTGCTGTCCAAGCTTAACTGTACCTCTGGTACCATCTGTGCTGTGTTGGAAGCCAAGGATATTCCAGGAGTGTCCTGTACTGACTCCACTGGATGTCTAGCTCTAGTGAGACGAAGTTTCTCACGATCACGTAGGTCCTTGCTAAGCCCAAACAGATCACCAAGTCTGATGGTGACTTCTGTGTCATTGATCCTGCCCAAAATGTCTTCTGCAAGGCCTTCCCTCTGAATAGGAGCCTTGTACTTGAATGAGCGCCCAGCGCCTTCATGTTCCTCCTCCTGTACAGGTTGTCTAGTCTTGGGTGGCTGAGTTCGAGCCCCACTGCCAACTTGAACAAACTTGTAAGGCAGGTTCTTCAACTCCTTGTTGACTTTAGTCCTCTTGACTGGTTGCCTTGGTGGTTCATCATCATCATCCTCTAATTCATCAATGTCCTCCCTCTCAGGTGGCCTGTTCTGATGTTGGCCTTCCTTCATCGAGGTCTCTAAAAACCCGAACCTTGTGAATTATTGCCTCTGTTCTTCTTCTGTTGGGCAAACTGAATAGAGGATCCGCCTTGAGCGTTCATCATATTGAACACTGCCTTGCCAAAAGATTCCATATCCATCATTGGAGCTTGTATTGACTGAGCATTCATAGGCATAGGTGCATTCTGTGCCATATATGTGGGTTGTGCTGCATATCTCCCATTATCTGAAGTGGGTCCACCTTTGTCTGCAAGCTGACTGAGCTTGACATGGATAGTCCTGACTTCATCTCTGAGCATATCAAACTCATCATCATTGATGTTTGATGAGCCATCACCATAATAGTATTGGCCTGCAGCTCCCTTTCTCTGCCAATATTCCTCAACTCTGACTGCTACTGGTGTTGGTCCTGGTGGAATAAAGTTGCCATCAGACAGCCTCTGCTTGCCATCTTCCACAACAATCCAGCCCTTCATCAGATGTTGATGCTTCCTTGGACAATCTCTTGCAAAGTGGTCTGGGTCTCCACAGTAGTAGCAGCTAGAACTGCTGTTGCCACCACCATTACCACCTCTGTTCATGCCTCCTCCATAGCTTCTATTGTTGTTATAGCCTCTATCCTGTTGGCCATAAGAGTTTTGTGCCCTGTCACGCTGATCCTGATCGTCACGGTCACGCGGTGGATTATTCCTCTGATTTTGGAAAGCCTTAACCAATTCATCAATAGAGGACTTGGTCTGCCTTTGCCCAGCATCAACCATATCCCTCAGACCAGAGACTTGCCCTTCAAGATCATCAAGCCTGACATCACGCTCTTCCAATTTAACCCGTGGGAATTTCTCTGATCTTCTGACCTCAGTAGGTGAACCAATGTCATAGGTAGTGTCTCCCCCATTGGTCTTGGCATATCTTTCAGCCAACTTGATCAAGTCATCCAGCTTGATTGGATCCTCCTTTCTGTCTGAAGTTGCTGCTGCTCCAGCTGCAGGAGGTGTCTCCTCCTTGAGAATGTTCTTGGTATGCATAACAGTCTTCAAAGATCTGGCAAACTCCTTCTCCAGAGTATCCAGATATCTTCTGCAAGCCTCCTTGTTCAGGATTATAGAAGGGTTCCTCTGAAGTTTCTTGATCAAAGCCTTGAACTTCAATCCAAATCTGGTAAGTTTTCCTTCCTGAGTGTGACGGATGCCATAATACTCGTCACATAATTCCTCCAGGTCCTTCATGGTACCCAACCTGTCTTCCTCTACCTCAGGATAGATCTTCTTGATAGCCTTCTTGAACTCTTCATATGTCTTGGTAATATCAGTGTACTCTGTCAAGAGTCTCCACTCTTCTTTCCTCTTGTTGGAAAGGTAACTGGTCAACATAGTCTTCTTTTCTTGGTCCTGATTGACCTTTCCTAAGGTGATGATATCATCAACCTGATCCAGGAAATCAATCAGATCATTCTTGTCTTCTGATGTGAACCTAGGAACTCCTGTTTCCCATGGTCTTGGTATTTTAAATGTAGCAGCATTCCCATTGCTAGCCTGGTTTGTAGCCATTGGTGCTTGGTTGTTGGATGAAGATGAAGATGAAGATGAAGAAGATGATGTAGAAGATGAACTGGAACTTGGTGAACCAGGTATAGGTGTTGTGTATGGGAGATCAGTATCCCAGTTGTGGTAGTTGTCTGGATTCTCAAAGTTAAATCCTAGAGCCTGCTCAAGGTTTGTCTCTCCAAGGTCCTGTTCTTGTTCTTCCTGTTTAACTTCTCCTTCTGGACTGTCTTCAGGGATATCTTCTGGGTCTGGCCTAAGTGCAGAAGCCAATAATTCAACCCAAGCTCCTACTCTCTCTTGATGTCCTGCTGGTGGTGGTGTTTCTTGAGGATGAAATATTTAAAGAAGGAGTTGCTGTGTTCCTGTTACCAATCAATGGTAACTGGTGATGATGGTCTCCAGTACTATTATCCAAGATCTCTCCTTCCTCTAGTTCAGGTTCTTCAAAGATAGAAGGTAGTCCAGCCAGTATGTGTCCTTCTAATTCAAAAGAGTCTTCTTCAATTACTTCAGTTGTAGTTGTGTCTGGATCAATGTGACCAGAGGTGACTTGTGTATTACGTAATTCTGACCAGCGCTCTGCGCGATCACGTGCTTTCTCTCTTTCCAAATTTCTTGCTATATGCGCCGCAGATAGTCTTGAACTCGTTGTTTATATGTGCTCAACACAATATAATATTTGTTGAATATTCTGGATGAACCCCCTCGGCGGTGGGCTCCAGATGAAACGCGGGAAACCGGGGTGTGGGTGGGAAAGGAAAGGACCAGATAGAACACTAGGGAGGTGAAGAGAAAAGGTGACTCTGACACTCACTCTAAACCAAAACCAAAACAAAACAACTCCAACAACCCAATGTAGTAATTAATCCTTCCAATACAATGCTCGGTAACGTTTGTGTGTGTGTTCGGGGGCTCCTACTGAAGTATACAGTAGTTGCAATCCAGGAGATAGTCGATAGTTTGTGTATTTGTAGATAGTAACGGTGTAGACTTGGTCCGCGCAGCGGCAAGGGTCGTGGGAACGATAGGTACTCGTATATAGTTTCGCAATTCAGTATCGGTCCAACGGCGTTATCGGTTCTTTGATTGACAGGCGGCGTCTGTCAACGATCGTATTCAAATGCCCTTCGGGCCGTAGTCGTTCCGTTTCCGTGTTCTCGTGTGCGCGTTCTTAGTCCGAAAGCCCCTACCCTTTGGTACGCAGGCTATGAATGCAATCCAACTGGGATTCACTGTCCTTCTAGGTACATTATGGGCCCATTATATACTCCTGCCCCCGTCACTCCGTCACGGTGCTGCGGTCACCTCGTACCGCCTCCGTTGCCCGTACCGCCTCGCGAGGCTATCCCCCGTTGCTGCGTTTCCTTGACGATTCGTAAGCATTAGGTGAGCGGCTTAGCTGAGCCTTACTCAGCCTTACTAACGCTTATTCAGCGTTTCTGGCTCTCCTTTCGCCCCATCCTCGCCTTCGCGCGTCCACCCTCGGCTGTCCACCAGCCGCCGCGTCGCCCGCGCTTCAGCTGGTTGTGGATATGGGTGGTAAATGTGCTATGGCCAATGTTGAAGTTACTAGCACCCGAGAAAAAGCTGCCCGTGCCAGTGTTTTGGTTGATAGCTTCAGGATCACCAGAGCCTGACTGCGGAGCCAAGTCCTCTGTTGCAGTTGGGGCAAATGCCATGAAGACAAGAGGAAGGACCTGCTATGGGTCTCAATCATCCGCCTCATTCAATATATATCCCACCCAAGGTGATGTGTTCTGGCTATCAGGCAGCGAAGCGAGGGGAGATGGGACCTAGAGTAGGTATCAACCATGATCATATGATGAAAAATTTTCACAGCCTAACTTCCTAAGGCTATGACGCTAGGAGATTATCAGCCTTCCGTGGTTACCATGTATTCAAATAAACCTAATAATGGACAGTACAGATTAAGAACAACATAGATCATGATTGACACATGGTTGAAATATATGTATAGCCCAAGGTTCCCAGAGACTACATGGTCTTTTGGTTACCGCACAGCCAAAGAACACTGGTTCCCAGTGATGAACAGTACAAATCAAGAACATGGCCAAAATAGTCCAAGGGAAGCCATAAGCTGTAATACTTCATGTACTAGGTTGGTACTAGGCCCGTTTCATGTATAACTGCTTCACAAACGATCTCCGATGGCGCTCTGACAGTCTTATTGGTGGGATCTTGGTGTCGTTATACTTATGGCGTCAAGCGCTCGACCTGCCGATCCATTGGAAATTTTGACACTCTCCCCATATCATGATTGTGGTGCACTGTCATGTTGACCATCTCATCGAACAGCTGTTCTTTTTTTCATTCCAATGACACCACCATATACTTAATCCAATTACCCAAGTTCCGCAAAAGTATGTACATATGTGGTGCTAGTGCCTGTGCCCGTGTTTGCCATTGCCAGTGCGTGTGCGCGTCCGAGTCACCCCAGGCGCAGTTGCGTTCGCCTGCGCAGCCTGCTGTGGGGCTTTCAAGCCTGGGCACGCCGTCAGTGAAAGCCCTCAGAATCAAGCCTTACTTACCGTCCTCGCGGACGCTCAGGTCCGTCGCAAGCGCGAGGAAATTAGGCTGGCCGAGCGTGTTCTGCGTGTAGCGCGCGTTGAACTTGATCACGCGCTTGAGCGCATTGTATGTTTTGATGTCGAGGGGGAGGGGCTGCTCGAGGACGAGGAAGGTGAGGCCCTCGGCGCACGGCGGCGTTGTCAGCGAGCCGGTGTACTGGAAGAGCGGGCCGGCCTCGACCGCCGCAACAAGCGTGGCGAAGTCGAGCGCGCCGGTCGTAGTGGCAGTTCCGGGGGTAGCAACGTCCTGGAGGTTTTCGGTGGCGGCGGTGAGGAGTTCGGTTGTGCCACCTTCTTCATCGAGCTGGAAGGGAATAGCGATGACCGCGATGCCTCCATCTATACGCGGAGTCAGGAAAAGCAACAGACAATGTGATAACTCACCCTGCGCCTGATGGACCATATGCATCTCCAGTGGGAAGTACTCGTCGTTGATGCGGTGCTCGCTGGGGGTATGCAGGTGGAACTGCTTCAGTGCAAACTCCTTGCCCGCGAACGTCGTCTTCCCCTTGCCCTCCGCAATGACGACTTCCAGCGTCGTGCCCAGGTTCTCGAACTCGGCCTCCTCAAGCGCTTCGATCTCGATTTTCGGCTTCTCGGTGGCCTTCGGGACGGCGTCGTCAAGGACGATAGGCGACTGGACGCTGCTGAGACGGCAGGCGCGGTTGGCGGGGTCGAGCGCGGCCCAGTTGAGCGGCCCCTGCAGCCCGGTATAGCCGAACTTGCTCACTTGCACCTCGCCCTCCGCGCGGGGCATGAAGGAGGTGCCGTGTAGGCAGTTGGCGGACGCATATGTGATCGCAAGGGAAGATGCAAGAAGTTGAGCCAGCATGGTTTCGATTTGTGAGAAGAAAAAGAGTGCGGAAAAGTGAGTGTAAGAGGGCGAGAGAAGAGGCGGGAGAATGGGGAGGAGTGCCGGCAAACCTGGCGAGACAATTGGGGGCTAGCGACCTTTTAAGCGTGCCTGCCGGTCGGTTCCGTTGGAATATGGGATCATAGCTCGTTGCCACGTTCGATACGATATCCGGCCTTGGGAGATGATCCCCGCATGGCCGGCCGCTACGACAACGGCAGCACCGCTACACCGACGCCGTTCAATCTGCGTGCGCGGACGTTGCTCATCGGTCGCGTCCAACACTCCTGTCGCTGAAGTCAAGCCCAAGTCGGAGGTTGAACTCAAGTTGAACATCTGTGGAGCTCGCCATGTCCCAAGTCTTCCGCCAAGCCGGTCAGTATCTCCGGTGGTGGCCAATCGGAACGTGTTTTGGCCTGAGCTACAGAATGAGCCAAGCGCTTGGCGCCTAGGCATGCGTCTTGGCGCACCAGGGACCATTTGGTTTGCGGTCGGTGCGTTCCCAACCGGCCGCAGTCCTAGCTACCCAGGCGCGTTTGGCAGCAGTAGAGCAAGGGTACGAATGTCGTCCACGTTGCCAGCGCAGATTCCGCCCCGCCAGCGCCGAGCCTTTGCCGAGAGTCATGGCGCCGAGCCAATCACGAAAGCCAATGGGAAGTCGGGGACGTAGCCGATCAGAGAATGTCAGTAATCTCTTGGCGGAGAGGTGAGCTCCAAACTTCGTAAACTTGCGCAAAACGTATCTGCAAAGTTTTGGCAAAGTTCGGCCATGAAGGTTGACTGCAAGAGTGTCACAGCGTTACGCAATCACCAGTCAATCAAGTCTTTGGAAGGCTAGACCGCTTACGTACGTGGCAGTGCTTCTTTTCTTTTTTTTTACCATGACAAGCCTCCAGCCCTCTCGCTTCATCGACGATCCACACTACGGTGAAACTCTCGAAAAACACTGCCGACATAACCTCGCACCTCCCCCGTATCTCGCCGAGGATTTGAAACCAATCGCCGCCGAATGCCACCGATATACCAACGAGATTGCAGCCCTCCGTGCACGACTGGCGGAGCTTACGGCGCGCCAGGAAACGCTCATGCGCGTGCAATGCTTCGCGGAGAGCCTTTTCTCCCCCATTCGACGCCTTCCAGTGGAACTACTCCTTGCCATTTTCCGCCACGTGTGCGATGACTTCTACGAAGATGACGAGAGCAAGCGCTTTGTCGACCCGCGCTTCGCTCACTGCTCACGACCGTGGCTACTTCTCGCCAATGCGCCACTACTCACCCTGTCCCAAGTTTGCTCCACGTGGAATACTACAATCATGGACTCGTCTCAGCTCTGGACGGACATCCGCGTCAATAGCTTTGTGTGCGACACACCCGAGGCAGGCAACATGGCGCTCGAGCGGCTGGAACTGGCACTACTGCGCTCGAAAAACCAGCCACTATCCATCAATATAATCCGGGATACGACCGCTTTCGACGCAGACACACGATGGTCTCGACTTGTTCACATCGGGAGTTTGAAAGCCATCGGTGCCGTGTCTCATCGGTGGGAATACATCGGCTTGCCGTGCCCGCTTTCCTACTTCGCCCTCAATCAACTACAACCGCTTTTCCCTCGTCTCTGGCGAGTGGATATCGAGAATAGAGGCGGCAATTGGATCGATACCAGTTCAATGCGGATATTGCAAGACGCGCCAGCACTAGACACCGTTTCACTAGACGGAAATCTAGACCTGTCCTTCCTGCCCTTGGAGAGGCTTTCAGAAGTCATATTCCTCAACATCTACACCGACGAGTTCCACGTTGCATTGCAATGTCTCCATCGCGTTTCTGACACCCTCGAGATCTATCTCAGTCCATGCACAGAATATCCTCCTCCCAGCGTGATCGATACGCCTGTGTCGTCCCCTGTTCGGATACTTTGCCTGGGTCTCGACGGAGAGTCTGACGACTTTGACCCACCATTCGCGCTGGACATCTTGGGCGCTCTATTTTCCTCAGTGACCCTCCCCTCGTTGGAGGTGCTAAGCCTGCGATTCAAACGCTATCCCAATTACACCAGCCCTTGGCCACAGGCCAGTTTCCTTCAGCTTGCTCATCGGTCTGATTTCCGTAACCATCTGATCAGTCTCAATGTACGCCGAGCCTTCTTGACGGACGACGAGCTTCTGGCTGTGCTGGAGATTGTTCCTCGCCTGGAAACACTCAATTTTGGCGATGTCGTACCCACGACAAGTTACCCGGCCGCTCGCATGGGCTCCGTGTCACTGACAATGACGGACCAGCTTCTGGACCGTCTCACGCAGAGAACCCGCTCGTTGCCCGCCGATACGGGTGCTGTTCCAGCCGCGGGATTGGGACACACACATCAGCTCATCCCCCGCTTGAGGGCCATGTACTGTGTGACCCAACTTCGCTTTGACCACAGCAAGTTGCTCGAGTTCGTCAAATCACGGGCACTGCTTCTTTCAGGCCCAGATGTTTTCACTCTCTCCCTTCGAGGGTTGCATGACATCAACGGGCTGGCGTCGCAGCTGGCTCCAAATATAGAAGCTGCCCTCGATGATATGCATGTGAAGGGCCAAATTATATTCCACATCGACTGGCTGGCTCCCGAGGAAGATATGGTAGAGGGCGAGTTCAAAGTTCCTAGATTTACTTTGCCTACGTAGTACGCAGTGTGAGGAATTGACTCTGAATGGCCACCAGCCTCTTCAGCAACGCCCCACTCAGCTAGAATGTAACGAAACATTCATATAATTTCACAGCGGTGTAGTAGGGTAGATCAGTAGCACGTGACCATCAATACGTTACCCCGAGCCACCACCTCCGTCCGCCCGACCCACTCCAGCGGTCCGAGGTATGATAAGAATAACAACATCTGGCAAGTATCCAATTCCTTAGACTGGTCCTCATCCCCTGTTTGAAAGTCACACTGTTGGAGAATGACACTCATCAGGTTTGACATAATCAAATCTAATGATCAATCACTATACTGTAGTATTTCGATCAAGTGTCCGCGTTACGCGTTACACGACCAAAAAAACTCCTCGGAAAAAAACAGCTAAAATCAAAATTAAATTTTTCGGCCTTCTCGGGCACAAAAAAATCAAAAATGGCGGGACAGTGGATCGAAATACTACAGTAGATGCCTGGGCAGTGAGACAAGCCCCTCAAGTGTTCTCTCACTGTCCAGGTATGTTCTTCGTATATATTCTGTACTTATATACTGTTACTCTTATATTAAGCAGATGTCGTGTGAATGTATGCACATGTTTGGCACTGGCCTTAGCAATTCATTTGCTCCACACTTCTATTTTTGGGATCACTGCTGTTAAAGCCCTGAATTGGTAAGAAAAGCTGTAGAATGTGACCAATCCTCATTGGGATATAAAGCTGCATATGACATCATGATCTTGCCCCCAGTAGCATTATGGGTTACTTACTATGCTAATATCTAAGGGTGTACAGCATACTTAAATTTTCTGACAATTCCTGATGTACATAAAATTTACTTTCTTGGGTTGAAATCTTATATTAAGCAGATGTCGTGTGAATGTATGCACATGTTTGGCATCAGCTTTAGCAATTTATTTACTCCACATTTCCACTTTTGGGACCACTGCTGTTAAAACCCTAATTTGGTAAGAAAAGCTGTAAAGTCTAATTGGGACACAAAGCTGTAAAATCAAGATTTTACATCAAGTACCATAAACAAGTCCAATTTAAGGCAATTTGTGATGTTGTTCTTGGCTGTAATATCAGTATAGAGGGCATGCAGACCTTGATATTTCATAAACTCATGAATAAAATTGGCATATTCAGTCTGCAAAAAATTGTGAAACAACATTTGAAGCTGGGGCGTAGCCCCAGCCTGTCTAGTCTATATGAACAATAGTAGACCAGATAGTTAAGGCCACTGGGCATGCTTCACCTGTGTGCTATTCTGTATTTAGTGGCATTTTTTCACAGCTGGGGCGTAGCCCCAGCTCTGTCTAGTATGCTAAATGGTTCTCTTACTGTACCAGTTCCTGAATATACTTACTTCTTTAACAGGTTATGGGCCCCGCGTGAAGTGTGCACAAACCAACCCATTATTGACCTGTTCTCTCACCTCATTCAACTAACTCGTTTCGACCCTTGCTAAAATGTCTCCGTATCAACACTTCTTCTCAATGGCCAAGGGAGTGTCATTATTCGAAAATCAGGATATACTGTTAAAAAGTTTTTTTAAGGACCTTCTGAGACACCTTACCATATCGGGTAATATATTCCCATGATTGCTCATCATGTGACCTGATGATGCAATCAAAATTGTCAATAAAATTCATGTTTCCAGTTAAATTCATCAAAATACTGCTACTTCTTGTTGATCTATAGGACTTCATTGATAGGCCATCCAAGGCTATGTGTAATCAATTAGCAATGATAAATTTATAACACCAGTCACACTGTAGTCACACTGCACCCTAAGTAAGGCAGTGAAAGCTTTCCCAGAGGAAAGTCTGTATACCTACTGTGTATTCCATGCTAAAATACTACAGATGTGGTGCAAAGTCAACCTCAAACCTTGCTCAAACCTGCCAGAACCCCCCAAAGTTTTTTTCACCCTCATGGGACCCCCCTTACCCTGTGTCCGTGATAAGCATCTTGACACCCCCTTGTCAATGGCATCAGCCATCCCCGAGAAGAAAGAGTCGTTTATTCTGTCATTCCCGAAGGATTCCGTCCCCAACGGTTTGACCCCAGATGGGTTTTTCAAAGGCATGGTGTGTCATTTTACTCAACTGCGGGTGCTTGTCTGACTGGAAATAGTCTCCGCACTCCTGGGGCGGATCCACCGGTGGTAAAAGCATCACTGGTGCAACGCTTGCTGGCTTCTTCTTCCCTGGCCACTCTGCTAGGGAGAAAATTGACTGCCGCCGTGCTGTGCCCGAGTGCCAGGGTGTATGGGTGTGTCCATCGCTTGACCCCAGTTTATC